AGCCCTGAGGCCATTTGAAAGCCTCGCTCGCTCATCATGCCTACTTAAACTGTGAGTGTTTCAGGGCAGCACTGAGTCTTCTCCCGCATCTCCTTTTTTCTACTATCCCCCCTCAAGTTTATATCCAGAAGATGCGTACCCTGGACGGTACCTGACTAGATGGATCTGGCAGGGTCATAGTTACTTTGCAGCTCCCTGTGGGTGATCCTGGCCACACGTGGACCACGCAAGACCCATGAGATGTGGAGGCCTGCAGGGTACTGCTCCGGGGAACGTCACGGTTCCAACGGCAGGACTCTGAAGTGATTTTTGCATCAAGGTTAACTCTTTTGAGCTGCTAAGTTCAACTACGGCAGGCTATCGTCAGCTCAGTTTTCGGTTCTTGTTCTCCCATTTTGTTGGTGCAGAGCGTCGGCTTCCCGTAAGACACCAGCGTACCAGTTCACGGTGGTAACCCAGATATGGTCGCTCCTTCGTTCTGCCACAACCTACATTCTCCCGGGCTGGTAGCTAGAGAAGCACAGGTCATGTTTCTGGGTTTACCTCTCTTACAGAAATATCTTGCTGCAGAAGCATGGCTGGGGCTGAAGTTGCGGCGGGGGGGGTGAGGGGGGGGGGGAGGGGGGGAGGGGACACGGACCTGGAACTTCTTGTCATTACATCATTATAGAAATCTACTGTAAAGCGCGCTGCCGCTCAATAAAACGATGTTATATTGCAGTTACATTAAACAACGCCTGCATTGTTTACGGGGACTTCACACAAACAGGGGCACGACGGGTTGCTTTGTGAGCCACCTGCAGCCGGGTCTCAGAGAGATTTGCGCCCGCTGCAGTAACCCTGTCTACCCCTCCCACCACCCCCCCACAAGAGAGCGGCTCCCTCTGTGGTTTTTTTTTTGTTCTTCCCACCATTCCCGACTATGTCCTTTAAACACAGAGGGGGCAAAGGGCAGTAGGTTTTGTGGCTGGTTCAGAGCAACACGTGCGCTGATTAGAAAGAAACAACCCATGTGCTGATTAGAAAGAAACGTTGTCTATAAGCCAGCCAGCTTCATACTTTGAGACTTTAACCTTTCTGCTCAATTTGGCTAAAACTGGCTAATGGGTTCCACGGTTATTACAGGGAGATTGGCTGACTGGCAGATAGACACAGAGCAAGGGTTTAAATCGTGCCACGGAGACAGGAAGAGTTTGCCAAAGATGGCTACAGAGTTCTGGCTATAAAATTTTCCTCAAAGTGATGAACAGCAATTTAAAGATCAATTGAAGTTGGACTTCAGCCTGCCAACTGGCTGACTGACCGCTGTAAGGGAGGGGAGGGGAAGGAAGATAAATGCAGCAGCAGAAGGAAACGGTGAGAAAAGGATCACTCTCCTCAAGTGATCTTTACAGTCTGGGGACCAAACACCAAGGCTGGAAGCATTCGGCTCTGCAATACACCTGAACGTGAGCACCTATTGCTGAGGAATGCTTGACCTGTTTCTGCACCGTGTGGAGTACGGTAACTACAGACACCCACGTTAAAAAAACAGGCTCACCTCTCTGGAAGAAATCAATGTTTACAATGAAACTGCCAAAAAAAACCCCGGTTGAGTAAGGAGCCATGAAGCTGAGGAAGTGGGAAAATTCAACCCTATTGCCTCAAGTTGTCATTAAAGTGGCCTGACGTCTGCTGAAGCTGCATTGCCAAGGCCCACCAAAAAGCTGCGCCTGGTAGGCCGAGAAAGACTCTCAGCTTCTCGTGGATAGAAGAAGTAGGTTTCCAACACCGTCTCGTACACTTAACAACAGCCACAAATAGCACATAGCGGCGTCGCCAGCTTTCTCAGCTTATATTTATGAGCCCTGCAATACTGGTGTTTTCCTGAAATCCCTGTTCTTAAAGTCCCATTAAAGGAGCATCTCAGCTTCCGTTTTAAAGCGATAGCCAAGTTCCTGATGATCCATGGATATGACCCAAGTATACTTTCAGGGCCAGGAAGAAAGTAGGAAAAAAAAAACAAAACCAAACCAACCCTAACTGTGTCTTTAAAAATCTTTTTAAACCTGATTTTTAAGCTGACATTACACTGCTCAAAAGCTTGCATCGTAATTTCTGAATGCTCAGGAGTACACGCCACTGTTGAGTTTGTATCATTAGGGTGAAATGAGTCAAACCGCTAAGATCTGGCAAGAAACTTCACCTTTTTTTTTTATTTTTTGACGTCCGGCTTAGACGAAATGAGAGGATTTCAGCCTCGTAACGGCGGTTTGTGTTAATGATTCAAGGAAACGTTTAATCACCTCCCCTCGCCTCCTGCCCCATCAGGACACCTCCACGAACCGACCTCTCCGATACCTGTGAAGACAGACAGACCGACAGACAGACAGACAGACAGACAGCTCTCCCGCTTGGCTTGGGCCGGTCCGAGCAGCTAAATGCCATTCTGCCCCGCCACTGAATCGTTGTGCAACCCGGGCATGCCACTTAACCCGTCTCGGTTACCCCATACGGGCTTAATTGTACCCACTTATCGCTTAATTACTCCATTATTATAATTTTAACACCTTCCTCTCCCAACACACCAGGGGGCTGCGGCCCTGCCCGAGGACCCGCCGCGGGGTCACCTCAGCGAGGGGTTTAAGT